TCGTAAGCTTGAATTTTGTTGTGACGATGTTACCTCGCTCTGATGATGTCCGTCATATGACGCACGAAAGTTTAACACCTTTTCACCGGAATCGAAGGAGATCGCCTCGGAAACAGCGTCAGCATGAATCTTCCAGTAAAGCCGGTCAAGACAGCTGGTCAAGAGAAATCCGCCATCGTCTTCTGGTGCAACCGACCTTCGAATCTCTTCACCAAACACTTCTACTCGAAATGGAAGTAAGCCCAACAATAAAGATACAGACCCCACTGTTGTCTGCACCGTTTTGTACATGATGGAGAACTAGCTTGGCGTAAGATGAGCGCCCTTATTCAAAGAGATGCTAGACCCACGAATAATTGTGCTATGTCTAAAAAGTAATAAGTGAAGTGCACCACTTCATAAGCAGTAAAGCTTATAGGATGCATCAAGCATTGCGAGTTAACGGTACTCAACTCAACCTGGAAAGTTTCAACAAGGTACTATTCGCGAGACCGTCGAATCAGCAACCTCAACGGAATTGAATTGTGGAAAAAAGTAACAAATCAGTCCTAATTCACGCCAAGTGATTGAGTTGTTAATTAATATAGATCTTGGGTGAAGAGATTCGAAAGTCGCCCAGAAGACGACGGCGGATTCCTCTTGACCAGCTGTCGATTGGCTTTACTGGAAGATTCATGCTGACGCTATAATTGTTGAGCTTACTTCCATTCCGAGTGAAAGTGTTGGGTGAAGAGATTCGAAGGTCGGTTCCACCAGAAGAATGTTGGGATTACTTCCATTTCGAGTAGAAATGTTGGGTGAAGAGATTCGAAGGTCGGTTCCATCAGAAGACATTGAGCTGACTTCCATTTCGAGTGAAAGTGTTGAGTGAAGCGATTCGACGGTCGGTTCCACCAGAAGACGACTGCGAATTCCTCTTGACCAGCTGTCGATTGGCTTTACTGGAACATTCATGCTGACGCTGTTTCCGAGGCAACCTCCTTCGATACACTTACAGAGACAGACACACTCAAATGCATAGAAGTTGAAATATGACCTTAACTAACCAAATCACTTTATGCTTGATCAAAGAAGCCCGATGTAGG